AAAATCTAATGCGATTTTCATGCGCATCTCATCAGTAAAGGCGCTCCTGTGATTAGTAGTAAATCTCCAGCATGTGCTTTCAGATGGAGCGCATTTACTACACAGTGCCGTAGTTCACTGACAAGCTACACAAAATTGCGTTCAAAATCGCAGGCGATTCATTGCCGATTATGAACGCGATTTTATGTAGCTTGTCAGTGAACTACGGCTCCGTGTAGTAAATGCGCACCATGTGAAAGCACCTGCTGGAAATTTACTACTAATCAGAGGAGCGGCTTTACTGACGAGATGCGCATGAAAATCGGCAAACCAGATTATCACTGATATATCGGTGGCTGATATATCAGCTAATATTTCCCATTTTCTAATTATCAGCAGCGGCTGACAAGTGTTGGAAGTAGCATTCACAACATATTTACTACTGTATGCAAAATTAATGTTACCTGGTATCTATTTGAGATAATATGATTACCAGTGCAGATACTAAATACTATGTTAAATATTAATTGCAGTGTGATACCATCTTTAAATGAAAAAAAAAGAAGGAAAAAAAAACCCTGCTACCACCCCACCTATTTTATTGCTTTTTGTCTATATAAATTAACAAATTTCCCGGCGCGGGAATACAGTGCTGGGTAGATTACTTACAAAATGTAGCTAATCCGTTACTGATTCTAAATTATATGACAAAAACTGCAGTTAGTGACGCAATTATGTTACACATTTTAGGTAATATAATCAATTTTTAGGTAATATAAAATTAGATTATTTTTTTTTACTTTTGACCGAACTCATTTATCACATTGATTTAAATATGATAATCTCATACCATATTGACATAAAAATACAAATAGAAAGAAATATACTCCATTTGTTGATATTAACAACATGAAGTGCATTAAACATTATATTATGTTATGGTTTCCCTACGAGTTTAACAAAATGCTAATAATTAATCATAAAAATGTACAATTAAAATAGGGCTGAAGCTATCGATTATTTTAGTAATCGAGTATTCTACCGAAAATTCCATCGATTAATCGAGTAACCGATAAGAAGAACTTTATTAAAGAGCAATACTAAATATACAAGAGAAAATAAGACAGATCTCTTAAAATGAACAAGTAATTTGTTTCCTTTTTAGAAAATTTTTTATTTTTATTGCTGAAATTGCATACATTAATAACTGTGAAAACTAAACCCATTTAGTGCATTTAATTGCCAAATTACATTCAAAATGAAAATACAAATATATAACAATATAAAAATCAATTTCAAATTACTTTAAAAAAGGTAAACAGTACAACCAAAAACAAAGACATAAATCAGAATAATAGTAATAAAAAAATAAATAATAAAACCTAAACATTGTACAACTTAACTTTCAAGTTTCAGCCTAACTACAGGGGCCCGTTCTTCGTATGTCGCTTATTACATCCGAGATTAAATGGCACATCCAAGATGATATCGCGCTAATCAGGATCTGGCTAATTCGGTTCTTCGAACGCAGCTGTTGTTGATGATTAGTATGGCTGGATTGAGTTATCTGAGATAATTGCGCGTTCATGGGTTGGTTTAAAAGGGGCTATGTATCGATATTTGAAACCACGATCAGCAATGCAGCGATTGGCTGGCGGCAAGTCAGCAACGTAATGACATCATGACAATTAAAAAAGACACCTGACGAAAGACTTGACAAATTTTGGGACTTTTATAAGGAAACAGCCAAGCGAACAAAACTACATAAATGTTATAATAGATAAAAGAAATGTGCACTGTTTTTATTTTATTTTAATTTTTTTCATGATTCCCAATTATTTATATTCACGATTTCTATTTGTACAGGCTTTACATTTTTATTTCAATGTAGCAATTAGCAATTCATTTAATTTTATATTTGAAACAGATTTGTTACGTGACAGCATTAATTAAAGTTTCTTAAGGGTCAAGATCAAGTTATCTGCGTCTCCTGCGCTCCATCAAGCCACTCCCATAATAGCGGTCACCACTCAAATTAATGCACGACTCATATACATTATCTGTATAGCATGTGTGTAAGACTCGAATACAATTATAAAGTAATAATTTTATGACGAATAAATCTTTCAGTGAGTAAAACTGGCTGCCTATAGTATTAAAGACTACACAACATTATTATATTATCTTTAAATTAATTTTTAAATGATCATTATTTTAAATTATTGTCCCTGGATTAGTAGGATACTCTTGTAATAAAGTAGCGGTGGTAGTGGACAGATTTTAAACTTCGCTTTTCCTGTGAGCATGAGCGGTAAATGAGCAGAATGCACATTGATAGAGCGGAATATTGAACGGAGCGTCACACGGCGCAGTGATGACGGCCGGAGGAGAGTGAAACCTGAACACTGCTGGGCGGCGGCGCGGCATATATTTTCGGCGGCCGAAAATTCAGTGCATTCCTAGTAAATGGACTAAACGATTCTCCGAAGCACATCATTTGCCTCGATTTTTTGTATATTCGAGTTACTCAAGTTACTCGAGGAATCGTTTCAGCCCTAAATTTAAATAATTTATTTTAAACTAACAACAACCAAAATAAATCACTTACTAAAAAAGATCAAATTTTTTTTTTTTTAAACCAGAGAACCGTCAACATGTAAATGTGTTACTTAACCATTAATTTATTACCTTCTAAGGGGGAACTTTAAGTAAATATATTAGGTGAAGGAGAATCAGCTGAGAAAAAAAGTTTGGGAATCCCTGCATTACTTATAAATAAGAAATGTGAATTTGTGCATTTTAATGTGTAATTTAAAAGATGAAAAAGAAGAATTAAAGGCACAATATGTAATTTTCGCCGCTAGAGGGCGTGTATTCAAAATAAACAAAGAGACAAAGGCGTAGTTTGATGACACCATGACTGAGTGTGGAATCATGGGAGTTGTGGTCTTCATCCCCACAGCCGATGCAATCCGATGGGACTCGGCAGAAATCATGTTCATGGATGAGCTAATGATTTATTAACGTAGTAGAATGAAGCAGGGTGAGGCTAAAAGCCGTCGAAGTGAAACGAGGCCGCTGAACGAGCGTGACACATGGCTCGAAAGCAGAGGAGCTTTTATTATGCCACAGTCGACCGCTTCCGCTCCTTCCGGTCGTGCGTATGTGGGGAAAAAACTGCGCTGTTTTATCATACTAGATACATTTGAAAGTTCTCTTATAATGCTACTCTGTGCGGTTGTCACCGGTCTATTAAAACGCACAACATATTAAAGCGTCTTTGGTGTTTCCATGTTTTCTACAAAACAAAACCGGAAATCAAGGGGTTATGACGTCATTGGCAGGCGACACAATGACACTATGGACACGGTGCATGTCACTAGTTAAAATTACTTATTTCTCTGGATTTAAACATTCTTC